CAGAGTCAGTCTTTCTTGGTACCTACAGATGTGAGGATGGCCAATTGCCAGGAAAGCTCTGAAGGGGGTCTTTCCTGAGAAAGCAGGTAGTGGCTCACCTCTGGCTCCTTACAACTTCACAGAATTGGCCAAGGAGGCCAGATCTGAGACAGGACAGGCCATTTCGGGGGAACATAGTAAGGCCCACCAGTCAGAGGACAGTGCGGGTAGTCACATACCTCGTTGGGGGAAGGAGGTGGCTTTGTGGGTGTGGGTGTGAGTTTGTGGTTTTGTCTCATGTTCTGAGAAGAGCTAGGAAAGGCAGTTTGGTTGGTTTGGAGTGGACTGTTTCTAGCAAGTCTTTTGACAAGGCGAGTGTTACTATGTCTGTGTATCCCACTGTGTCCGTGGTTGTAGATATTAGAAAATAGAATGCATCAATGAATGTGACCTGTCTAGTAGAACGTTTCCAGCATTAATTTTGCCCAATTTATGAATGGACTGTGGCTTGCCTTATCCATGGGCAACACCTACTATCTTCCTAATTTCCTGTTTTCTTCCTGAATTCTGGTCACTGTTCAGAATAGGCTCATAGTTTTGTGTCCAAGACATGTACCATCTCCAAGCTTGGTGACATGGCCATGTACTGGATAGCTGAAAGGAATGGCGAGCATCTCAGAAAACTCAGATATCAGTGGGCCCAGTGAAGTCTCAGTCGAAAAACCCTGCTTTGGGCCTTTTGCTTGCCTATTGTTCTATTTCCCTGGATGTCAGCAAGGTCTTTGCCTCAGGACACCCCTTTGTGAAGCCTGAAGAAAACAGTTTTCAAATGCAAAGGAATGGGTATCACCTGTGGCACTTTGCTTAATTGCTTTGCAAAGGGTTGTGTCTGAATCAGCCTCTTGGCCCTGTGTGTGGCTGTGGCTTAGATTGTCATCACCTGATGGATCTCAAAAATGATCCAATATGTGCATCCAAAGCCAATATGGCAAAAAAGCAGTCATTGTGGATGAAGTCTTTCGCCTTCCTCTGTAAGGTTCCTGACCTCCATCAAGTGAAAATTGGGATCCTTTGGGTCAAATGAGTTTTTCAAAGCCCTGCAGAGGCTAGCCATTATGTGCTTGGGTATTCTCATGACTCCAATTAACACAAAGAATCTATAACCCACCATCAGCAGGCCTCAAAGAGGAGAAGCTGAGCAGTATTAAAAGCAGGCCTATTTGATCACTCCTGGTTCAAAAGACGGGTGTCCAGGCCTCCCTGACATTAGGCAAATGAGGGGCAAGGGAGCTTATTGTGGACACTGTCTTAGGCTGCGCCTCTCATGGAAACCACCAGCCAGAGGTTATGAGGATTGTCTATATGTTAGAAGATGAGGACCTTGTGGCAGTGTTTTGGTTTGAATTGTGGTCGTTTGTGTGGCTGTGGAAGAGATGACTGGGTCCGCCTGGGATTGAACTCTGGTTGGATAACCCTTGGAGACTCAGTTTTGGAACTGACCTCAGAGAAGTATTGCCATGAATTGTGTTGGGATTTTCCAAGGCCAAGCACGAGAGTCCCCCCTGGAAACAGAGATCGAAGCCCAGGGCGACTTTCCACAGAACACTGGGAATCTCAGCCAGGATATCACATGATTTTATTCTTAAACCCTGGCAGCCATAGTTGAGAGTCAAAACACACATGGACCTCACATTGTTGACCTCAGTGGGCCTGGTTTCATGTGACGTTTTGGCCACGCTTTGGGAAGCCTTGTTTGTGAGAGTTCTCCAGAACTTTCATTGAAATGATCTTCTTCACCATTTAATGGTTCCTGAATGAATGGAAACCCACAGTGCCTCCAACTTCATTATTTAAAAATGGCTAGATAAATACCATGCAATCTTTGAAATTCCCATGACCAGGTGGCACTAGAGAACCTTTGGATGTCCTGTTGCTGATCATGAGTGTACCAGACAGGTGCCTTGATTGACTGGGTTGCATGAAAATGATGTAGAACAGAGATGCCAGTAAGGTGGGGCCTGCTGAGTAGTGGGCCTAGAGCAGTGGTGTGCAGGTGTGTGATAAAACATCTGTGGTGGGGCCATGTGGATCTGCCATGGGCTTCCAAATAACTTGTGACTGACATGGTGCACCCAGCAGACCATTATATGTAAAGGCATCTTGTTATATGGAGAGGTTTCAGGGCAATGTTCAGAATTACGTTGCTATGGTCAAGGGGCCAAGCTCTGTGTGATAGAAGCATGGGTGGTGCATTCTTCTAGGACCCTTACCCACTACACGTGACAGAACTCCCTCCAGGACTTTGTCCCAGTTGAACTCCTTGTATTTCGTGAAGGAAATACCAAACTCCCAGTGTAGCAGCAAGAAACACCACGAAAAGTGAAGGATGACCAAATGGCTTCACAGTCCCCACGGGGAGACACTTAGCCCCCAGTAACTACAGTTTACCTATAAAAAAGAGAATTCAGCACTTCTGTCTCATGTTCATTGGAAAATCAGAAACCATGTCCTCCAGGTCACTTAGATGCAGACCCAGCTTTGATGGTCTCACTACAAAGGAAGCTAAAGCTCCTGACAACAACATATATTTCAAGAGCGCAACCTCAGAGGCAGTTTCTCCAGAAGTCTTTAGGCCAGCAGAGCTCCATGTTTGTGAAGTGTTTATCCTGTCCCTTATTTATGGAAACTCCTCTACCACTTTCAGAGTTGTGAATTCCTGAGCATTTTTCATTCTACATATGTATTCAAAGATTTTCTAACACTTCTTTTCGAATTGTGTCTTACTTTGGCAAGGGTATTGTCAAGGCATTTTTCTGGATGATAGTGGGAAGATTTTTGTGTAGCACATATTTGCATACACATTGGATTAATTTTCCTATTTTCTATTCCAAATACTGAATCCCTGACACTAACCCATACCCTATTAGCCTCTGACTAGGAATCCTAATATTATAGAGAAAAATAACCCAAACAGAATAGAAATACAAGCAGTTCAGAGGAGGCATGGTGTGTAGTTGGACAGGCCTTTTGCATTATAAAGGATAGATGTTATGAATCTAGTCCAATGTAATAGTTCTCCATGTGTTTTTAAACTTAACAAATATGTGAATTCCTGTCTCCCTTTCTCTGCAGCCTATTCAGCACATGTATTTTTACATGCACATATAGAATCCTACCTGGTTTCCCAGCTACATTCTTGTGAGGTGTCTGATTGGCAGGTACAAACTGTGAGAAGAGATCACACCTCCTAAATGCTCTTGGAACTGAAAATCAATCTGTGGGTAACCTTCCCACTTGAACAACATGATACATAAATCCATGTTCAGTAAAATAAATATTTTTTTATCTGTGGATGATATATATTTAAGGATGAATTTC